CCCCCTCTTCATCCTGTGTGCTGTTTTTGCTCAGCCAGAACCCTGGAACCTGTGTTTAGGTCAGTGGTGTCTGCTCCCAGTGAGTTTCCGAGGCACTTGGAGCTCAACACAGTCAAAACCAAATAAACCTTCTTTCTTCTTCCACATGGGTCTCCCTCTTTGGCTTCTCCTCTCAGCACATGGCACCACCCCCTGCATGAGTGTTCCAGAAACAAGGATTTTGACCTAGATGCCTCCCTCTGCCCTCATGCCCTGTATCTAGTGCATCACCAAACCCTTCACTTTCCAAATGCCTTTGACTTTGTCCATTTCTCTCCATTTCCAACCCCCTCCTAGTCCAAGCCCTCGAGCTCTCTCTTGGCTGACAGCAACAGCTTCCTGAGCAGCCTTTCCAATCTATCTCCTACTCTTTATACAGCATGATTTTTGTCAAATGCAAATATGATTCAATAGGTCTGCAGCTTGTGACTCTTGGGCTTAGAGATTTAGAGCCCAACTTCAGGGAATCTTTCTAGAATCATCTCATTTCACTTGCCCTGCAGGCCTTCCAGGAGCACTGACTTTCTTTCAGTGCCTTGAGCACCAAGCTCCTTTCTCCCACAGGGCATTTGCATACATTGTTCCTTCTATATAGAGCTGTGTTGTCCATGGCAATGACCACTGACCACATGTGGCTACCGAGCACTTCATATATGGCCATTGAAAACTGAATAATGCTATTGATTCAATTTAAAGCATAAAATATTCAATTTAATTATTAGAGAAGTTATGTGCTTTTGCTTTTTGATCTTTCTGAGACAGGGTCTCCCTGTAGTCCCAGCTGGCCACCCCTTGGTGCAGCATTCTTTTTTTGTAGTTTATTTTATGTGTACAAGTATTATGCCTGCATGCATATAAGTGCACCCCTGTGTGCAGTGCCCGAGGAGGACAGAAAAAGATGTCGGATCCCCTAGAAATGGAGTTACAGACAGTTGTTGGCTGCCATGTGGGTGCTGGGATTCAAACCCGGGTCTTCTGAAAGAACAGTCAGTGCTTTTAAACCACTGAGCCATCTCTCCAGCCCTTGGTGTGGCATTCTTGATGCTTTCCTGGAACCTCACGATATGAGCAGCTCCACTCTGCCATGCCCTCCTGGCCACAATTGACACCTCTGTAATCAGGAAGAGAGCCCAGAATGCCCAGTGATGTACAGATAACAACAGCCCATCCTTCAGAAAATTTGGCCACTCAAAGCTCATAATTACCCCAGTAGCTTTCTATGTGATACACCCCCCGACACACACACAGCTCCCTAGAAACCCTGCTTGCCAGCAGCCCAAAAGCACGATGTCTTTTTTGGTGATAGCTTACATTTTCTTTAGTTTGAAAGCTTGCTTTAAAAAAAATTTATATTTGTGTGTATGCACACATATGTGCAGGCACCCAAAGAGGCCAGAAGAGGGCATCAGGTTCCCCTGAAGCTGGAGTTACAGGTGGTTGTGAGCCAGTAGACATGAGTGCTGGGAACCAAGCTTTGGTGCTCTGCAAGAAAGCAAGGGCTCTTAAATGTTGAGCCCCTGGCTTGCTTTTTGTTTGTTTGTTTGTTTGTTTGTTTCTGAGACAGGATCTCACAATGCAACCTTGGTACTCCCAGAAATTCACCTGCCTTTGTTTCCACACCTGGTTTGGTTGGTTAGTTATTTTTATTTTTATTTATGTCTACGAGTTTTTGCCTGCATATATGTAAGTGCACCACATGCGTACAGTGCCTTCAGAGGCCAGATGACGGTGTTGAATCCCTGGAACTGGAGTCAAGGACAGTTGTTAGCTACCATGTGAGTGCTGGGAACAGAACCTAGGTCCTCTGCAAGAGCAGCCAGTGCTGTCAACCACTGAGCCATCTCTCCAGTCCTGTTGGTTTGTTTTTTTGAGACAGGGTCTCATGTAGCCCAAGCTGGCCTTATACTTAATATGTCGTTGAAAATGACCTTGAACTTCTGATCCTCCTTTCTTCTGCCTCCCAAGTAATTGTAGGCATGTGCCACCATGTTGGGCTTTTATTTATTTATCTTTAAATATTTATTTACTTATTTAGTCTTTTTGAGACAGGGTCTCCTTGTAGCCCCAGCTGTCCTAGAACTTACTATGTAGTCCAGGCTGGCTTTGAATTCACAAAGATCTGCCTCCCTCTGCTTCCCAAGTGCTGCGATGAAAGGCGTGCGCCACCACACCTGGCTTATTTATTTATATTTTATGTGTATGTGTGTTATACTTGCATATATGTAAGTGCACTTACATCATCCAATACCCACAGAGGCCAGAAGAGGGCATCAGATACCCTGGAACTAGAGTTTTGGAGGTTGTTAGCTGTCGTGTGGGTGTTGGGAACTGAACCTGGGTCCTCTGCAAGAGCAGCCAGTGCTCTTAACTGATGAGCTTTTTTCTTTAATTTGGGGGTTCTGCTTTTGTTTCTGTTTTTTGGAACAGGGTCTCCCAGCTAGCCTGGAATTCACTATGGAGACCAGGCTGGCCTCAATCTTACAGAGATCCTTCTGAGTGCTAGGACTAAAGGCATGCACCACCACACCTAGCTTCTTTATTTATTTTGATTTTTTTTATGTGCATGCATGTATTGTGTGCATTTATGCAAGTACACCCATGTCATGCAATGCCTGTGGAGGTCAGAAGAGGGCATCAGATCTCCTGGAACTGGAGTTACAGATGGTTGTTAACCACTGTGTGGGTGCTGGGATTTGAACCCAGGTTTTCTGCAAGAACAGCCAGTGCTCTTAACCACCGAGCCATCTCTCCAGTCCCAAACCTAGCTTTTTAAAAATTACTTAAAAATTTTAAGACCCATTTTTATTTCTCTCTCCAGTCTCTCACTGTAGCTCTCACTCTAGCCCTCTCCCCCTCCATCTGTCTGTGTGTCTGTGTGTATGTGCATATGTGTGTGGGTACTTGGAGAGGCTGGAAGAGGGCATCAGATCCCCTGGAGTTGGAGTTACAAGTGGTTGTGAGCCACCCAACATAGGTGCTAGGAATGGAGCTCTGGTACCCTGCAAGAACAGCAAGTATTTTTATAACCTCTGAGCCTTCAAACCCAGGGTCTTAAGCATGCCAGGCCAGCACTTGACTTGAGCTGCCACTCATCCCAGTTTGCTAGCTTTCTAAATAAATCTTTTTCCATCTCCCTCTCCAAAGACTTTAATCTTTTTTTATTTTAAAAGATTTTTTAAAAATTACATTTATGTGTTTATTAGGTTTTTGAAACAGGGTCTCCAATCTCACAGAGATCCTCCTGCTTCTGCCTCCTGAATGCTAGGACTAAAGGCATGCACCACCAGGCCTGGTTTTATTTATTTATTTTTAATTATGTGTGTATGTATGCACAAGCCATGCCATGGCGCGTGTGTATGTGTGTGTGTGTATGTGTGTAGGTCTGAGGACAGCCTGCAGAAGTTGGTTCTACCATGTGAGTCATGGGAACCAAACAACCTATTTGACTTGTTGGAAAGTGACTTTAGCCACTGAACCATCTTGCTGGCCCAGGACATTAATCTTTATCTCAAATCCTTCCACTCATTCTTCAGAGTCGGTCTCACTTGTCCCCTCCTCTGAGAAGCCTCCCTGGGATAAATTCTTTGACTGTCATTTCATTGTTTTCCACTTTCACTGTTCCATGTATGTGGCAGAATCTGCCAGCTCTTGACTCCCCCTGTTTGCACTTGGGAACTTACCTGTCTACACCTTCATGTTTTACACCCCTGTCTCTCCTTCCCACTTCTGAGCTTTGTGAGAACAACACTAAGTTTGCCCCCCCCCGCCGTGGAAACCAACCCCATAGTCCAGAACTGGCCTGGACTGTTGCTATCAGACACCAGATTGTCACACTAAGTCATTCTATACACTGCTGTGCCTTTGGCAGGGACTGTCCCCAAACATGTCACAAAGCCTGCCCTCCCTTCCCCTAGGAGTGCTCTTCAGTATACAGACCCTGGCCCTTCCAGATTGAAATCCTCTCATGGAGCCGGCTTAGGCCCCAGTGTTTCTTCTTTGGAGGAATTACAGCAGTGTTTCTTGAACTTGGATGCACGTGCCAACCACTTAGAACCTGGTTAAAACACAGGCTGTGGTGCACCAGCCTGGGATGGCACCTGAAATTCTCATTCCCAATGAGCTGTTTGCTGACAAGGTTGAACCTGATCCACAGACCACCCTCTGAATGACAAGAATGCAGAGAACCTGGTGGCTGGCCTGGAACACACTATGTAGACCAGGTTGGCCTCAAATTCACAGAGCTCCTCCTGCCTCTGCTAGGAATTAAAGTCTCATGCCACCACACCCAACCTAAGGAGCCTTTGAAATTGGGTCCTGCCCCTTTTTACATCAAATCTTACACCCTAAAAACTGAAAATGAATGGAGTGCCTGCAATCACTACTGTCTACTCTACTGTCATGTTTTTTTTTTTTTTTTTTGGTCTTTTTGAGACAGGGTCTTCCTGTAGCCCCAGCTGACCTGGAACTCACTATGTAGACCAGGCTGGCCTTGAACTCACAGAGATCTGCCTGTCTCTGCCTCCCAAGTGCTGGGATTAAAAGCGTGTGCCACCACGCCCAGCTTTGTTTTTTTTCTTTTTAATTTGAAATAAACCTTTAAGCAGTTTCTGAGTCAGGACAGCCCTGATGTGTAGACTCTCCTTTCCAACGATCAAGTCACAGCTGGGAATGCCATGCAGGGGAAGCCATCTCCTTAGGTGCAAGAGATTTGGCTCCTGTCTTCTGGCCCAGCAGATGTTGTCCTCATAGTTCTTCCAGAAGGTTCCACTCCGTAAAATTTAGGTTCTCTGAGATATGTCCTCTGGGAGCATCATAAACCAAATAGGTGCAGCTGAGTCACAGGATCGAAGTGTCTTCTGGTAGCCTTAGTCATGTGTGTGTGTATGTGTGTGTGTGTGTGTGTGTGCATGTGCGTGTTCATGTGTGTGTGTGTGCGTGTGCATATGTGTATGTTGATATATTTGAAAGTGGCTCTGTGTATGTGTGCCTGGATGGATGGATGGATGGATGGATGGATGGATGATGGAGTATGTGTGGACTCTCTGTCCTGGACACTCCAGTTCCAGAAAGTTATTATTCAGAGCAGCGCTGGACTCTTCCACATGGGAGCAGCATTGGACTCTTCCACTTGGGTTTGGACTTGACCCTGTGCCTAGGTAGGTCCGGGTGATATGAATGGCACCGCTGTCCCTGACTGCGGTTGTGGCTGCTGCTGCCCTTTGCGTCTCCGAGAATTGGACCCTGGCTCCTCGCTGTCCTTCCGGGCCAGGTTCCTGTTGGCATTCTCCCTCCGGCCCTGGCCCCCCTTCCTCCTCTTCTGCCCTGCAACAACCAGACAGGTGCGGGAGAATCAACAAAGGATGCAGAAGCCCTGAGTTGCCTAAAGGACTTCAGAGGGGTGTTGTGAGGAAATTGAGTGGGAAGGGAATAGGGGTCACCTCAAGGCCTCGGGCCAGCAGCCACTTCAGAGGACCTTACAGCATGAATACTGAGAAACAGTCCCAAGAGCCTTTTCTCCATCCAGATCCAAGGCATATTCAAGACACCCTCTTCTTCCTCAGACCTTGGATCCTGAGGGCCCTAGAGTATTTCCTGGCTGTTCCTGCAGCTCTTGGGACAAATGGGGTAGTTCCCACTCCCTGCCACTCACCAGCCACCCCTGAGACCAGTCGAGTGGGCAGTGTCCACCTCCTTGCTAACGGCAGGCTGTATGGCCTGGTTTGAAAAGCCCCCCATCTCTGGGGGTTAGCCCCCCCCCCCCCCCACTGCTAGCATGCATGTCCAGCCCGGCCTCCAGGGACCAAGTCTGGCCTCCAGGGACCAGGCAGGACTCAGAGGTGACTGGCCTCCAGGGAGGCCGGTTCAGCTCACCCTCGGGACACGGCGTCCTGCGCACTGTGCACTTCCGGGTCTCCTTGGTGTTGGAGCAGGCAGCGTGGTCTCCCCCAGGAGCGTGAAGCACCCTGCGTGTCCGCTCCTCTGTGCCCTTCCGGAAACCACACAGCTTCTTTTTCTTGGAGCAGGGCCCCCACGGGGACCACTCGCCCATTTCACATTGGGCTGGCAAGAGGAAAGGTAGGAGGGAGGGAAGAAGAGAGAAGGGGCCCCTCTCCTGGCCCTGCATGTCCCAGCAGAGCCTCGCCCACTTGCCATCCACCCGAACCTCGGGCCAGAGCATCTTTAGAGGGTCTCAGAGAACCTCCAGAAGGTGGATGTACTTCTTCTTGCCCCAGTCCCTTCGATCTCTGATCAGACTCCCACCAGCCCTTCTGCCCTTGGCACTCTACTTCGGCACCCACCGCTTACCAGGACTGCTGCACTCCGTGGTGCCGTTGGCTGCTGTGGAGCCCTCAGGACAGTCCGGATAGCAGCGACCTTTGTGCAAGTACAAACCCTCCTGACACTTGGTGCAGAAGTTATGGCTGAAGCAGGCCTCGCAGTGCTCAATTTTGCATTCTGAGGGCAGAACTAGACTGAGGTCTGGTGCAGGCCAGGATGGATACATCATCTCATCCCCAACTCCAAAGCCTGCCACCCACACCCACTCAACAAGAGGCCAGGATCTTGTCCTAGAGTTAGGTTTCCTACAGAGGAATCTTTCAAAGAGGTGAGAAAGTGGGAGAAGAGGAGAGGGGAGAGAGGACATTGAAGTAGCCATCTTGAGTGTTGACTGGGACTCTTGTCAACAACAGGCAACCAGAACCCAAACTCCTGTCCTGGTACCCAAGGTGAGGCCCAAGGGTTTCACAGGAGGAGGGGCCTCTCTGGGCTTGGTGTGGGACTGTTTTGGGGTCTCCTGGCACTCCAGAGCCCCCTGAGCAGAGTGGAACTGAAGACAGAATGAAACTCTGGCAATAGCTGTGTGGGCACCCCTTCCCCCACTGCTGGGCATCCTCAGCACCCCAGCCCTAGTTCTCCTCCTGCCCAGAATAGAAAGAATCTGCTCAGAGAAGCGGGAGCATTCCCAGGGCAAATTCCTCTCCCTGTGCAAGACCAAGTTCCAGGAACCCCTTGATTGGACTCCTGGGTCCCTCCCTACCTCCTCCTGCCAGCTCCCTCCTCTGAGAGAGGTGGGCAGAACAGGGCTTGGCTGGAAACAGGCAAGCCTTCTACCACCTCCCCTCCCCAGTCTGGGTAGGGCTGGCTTCCTCCAAGTCTCTGGCACCTGAAGGCCCAGCTGCCAGTCTCCCAAATGCTGGCACAGCCAGGAACCCCTTTTCTCTAACACCCTGTGGCCCAAGAGGGCAGCTCCCAGGGGCCCACCTCAACCTATGAAGCTCTTTCGGACCTTTCTCCTGTGGCTTAATCTTAACCTCCACCCCCCCTCGACATTCAGGCTTAGATTCTTAGGTTTGGTTGCCAATACAATAAGAACCCAAATAATAATAGCAGCTACCAATTATTGAGTGCCAGACACCAAGAGGCTTATAGGTGTGTCTCACAACAACTTGAGAGAGAAAAGCTAATGCTCTTAATTTAAAGATGAGCTGTCAGGAGGCTGAGGTGCACTAAAGGTCAAACAATGAGCTAGTAGCCAAGCTGAGATTAGAGCTCAGTAGCCTAAGCTGGTGCCATGTATTTCCCCTCTGAGCCTCTAATTCATCAGCTTTAAGAGGGTACCATCTTTTTGGCCTAGCCTCCCTCCAAAAGCTGTTGGGAGGCTCTGGGACCCGAGATCTGGAGATGTATTCTATACTCCAAAGGCACTGAACTGAGGGAGGGAACGCTGGTATGGTGTAGCTGGTTGGGTTCACTTGGTGTCCCCCAGCATGTCACAGTTGCAGTTCCAGGGATGGAATGGAGACAGGATAGAGTGTGCCTTGCAACACATGGAACTGTGGCTGGGCTGCCAAAGCAGAGCAGAAACCAGGAGGAGAAGGTAAAAGAGCAGACTGGCTGAACTTCAGTTCCCTGAAGCCAGTAGGAGCTAACAGTGGCCAGTGGGTGTAAGATGGGGAAGGTTGAGGGTCTCAGAAGCATCTTGGTGGCTGGGAGACAGATGCACAGGCTATGGCAATAGTCTAGGAGACAGGAGACAATAGGAAGGACAGGAACGGTTATTGAGTAGGGTAGGGGCAGCACAGTGAGGGATTGGCGCTCAGCGCTCTGGCTTGACTGATGAATTGGGACACTCAGAGTGACCTGAGAGAACAGAAGTAGATACAGGTGTGGAAAGAGAAGATGAGGTTCTGGCTTAGACACAGTGGAGATCATGGGTAAAGCATCTGTGGTAAAGTCTAGGCAGTTGGATATTTAAATCAAGAGACCCATCCTCTTTCCTTTGTGGCCCTCTACACTTCTCACTGGCAATCAATCATTCAGAGCACCCTCCCCACCCAGGGTTCAGACCCTCCCCAAACCCACCCACACTCACTGATACACTTGTTCATGTCGGGGTTTCGAGCATCGAAATATCCAGGTGGGCAGGATGGCAGGCAGACACCTATCTGCCGGATGTCGTTTCTCTCCAGCAGGATGAACAGCTTGGGTGAGCACTTGAGGCAGCCGTTGACTTCTGAGCACAGCTCACAGCCCTTGGCACAAGCCCGGCTCCCCTCAGCACTGACTGTAGGGTGGGGGTAAAGGTGACAAGGCAGTTGAAGGGGAGATTGCATCTTCCCAGGCTCCCACAAGGATGGGAGGTGAGCTTATGGGGGCTTTATTGCACAGAGAGAACATGTATCTCAGAGGTCAGGGCCGGGTGGGCAGCTCTTTGCAAAGCTGTTTTATGCACAGTCCCAGAACCCAATCCAGGGAGTTAGTGTAGATGTTTGGAGCCAGGACATCCATGGATCTGTACCCCTCCCTCCCTGCCTTCAGCACAGCCTGAATCCTATAGGCTTGTTCCCTGACCCCAGAGATGAAACTAAAGCTGCACCTTCCTAGAACTTAGTCCAGTTCTCCAAAAGGAGGAAAATGTAGCCTCAGGTACTGAAGGAAGCTTTTCAATCTTTGATAAAATTTTAAAATCAAGAAGAGATCAACTACCCAATGACTGAAAGATGATGGAAATAACCTGTAGCTAGAATAGTGATCTCAACATGGGGGAGATTTTGATCCTTGGGGGACATATTGATTTTGAAACAGGACCTTGTGTAGCCCAGGCTATCCTCAAACACTATGTAGCCAAAGACAACCCTGATCCTCCTGCCTCCAGCTCCTGAGCACCAGGATCACAGGTATTCACCAGCACACCCAGTTTATGAGGTGTTGAGGGCCTTGCTTAAGCTAGGTAAGCACTCTACCTGCTGAACTAGATCCCTAGCCCTAGAGACTTTTTTTGATCTTCATAGCGGAGAAGTAGGTTGCTACTGGTATCAAGGAGGTAGAGTTCAGAGAAGTCCTCTGAACATTCTCTAATGCATGGGGCATCCCTGGACAAAAAGAATCATGTGGCCCAAAATATCTATCGTGCAGAATTTATCTACTATTATTTTTTATGCATATGCGTGTTTTGCCTACATGTGTGAGTGCACCTGTGTTATGCAATGACAGAAAGGGTATTAGATCCCCTGGAACTGGAGTTAAGGGTGGGCGTTAGCTGCCATGTTGGTGCTGGGAACTGAACCCAGGTCCTCTGCAAGAGCAGCCAGTGCTCTTAACCACTGAGCAATCTCTCCAGACCTACTGTGCTGAGTTTGAAACACCATGGCTTAGCACCCTCCTCAGAGGCAGTGTGACTTCTCACAGCAGCGTTGAGTCTCAGAGCTTTCATTCTGTTCCCACATTCACTTGTTCAGCCCACACTCACACATCCCCTCCCATATGCCATGTGCAGGGTGAGCTCAGGGGTCAGGGGAGCAAATAAAACAAAGGAACTGGCCTTCAGTGTGGCAAACACTCAGCAACAGGTAAACACTGACAGCCCCAAGCAAGCAGCATTGGACTCAAGAGACTGGGAAAGACTCATGCCTGTAATCCCAACATTCAAGTGGCTGAGGCAGGTAGATTGAGGGTCTGAGGCCAACCTAGGGCTACATAGCTAGACCCTGTCTAAGAAAAAAGGAAAAGAAAAAAAGGAGGAGGAAGAAGAGGAGGAGAAGGATCAGGAGGAAAGAGGGGGAGAGGGAAGAAAAGGGGGAAAAGAAAGGATTCACAAAGGGGGTGCTATGGGGCTCCTTCTTGAAGGAGTAGTTGAAATTTGTCCTTTATGAAGTAGAAATAAGGGTACTGGAAGGAACAGGACCAGACAGGTGCAAGATGATCTGCAGATAATTGGGGTGAAGGTGAGAATGTGGGGAGGGAATGATGAGAGATAAGGCATCTTATCTCTGCATAACGCTAAGGAACTTGAACGTGAATCCTGCAGGTGGCATTCCCCAGAGAGTCTGCTTGTTTTTAATAGGATTCTTCCAAATGTTAACAGGATACAGGGACAGAACGTTATGGCATTAGGTGAGACCTGGAACCAGTGAGTGAAACTAATCTAAACAGGATTGTTTTCTGTTTATTTGTTTGCATAGAGGGTGGGTACGGTGTATCGTGTGTGCATGTAAGGGTGCAGGTATGCATACTTATGTGTGCGCATGCAGAGGCCGAGCAGGGCATTAGCCGTCTTCCTCTGTAACTCTCTGCTCCATTGCGTTGAGATAAGGTCTTTCACTTGACCTGAAGCTGGCTGCTTTGGCTAGGCTGGCCTGGCCAGTGAATACTCAGGACCTGCTTGTCTCTGCCCCCAAATGCTGGAGTTACAGGAGCACACAGTCACGCTTAGCTTTTAAGTAGGTGCTGATGATTCAAAGTCAGGTCTTACCATCCTCCTGTCTCAGCCTCCCAAGACCTAGGATGACAGACATGTACCACCACAACAACCTTCAGGAGGATTCTTTCTTTCAGGTCCATTTGCAGCCCTGATTACAGACCTGTACAGAGCGACTCTCCAGGAGTGAAAAGAGTAAACTGCACTTCTCATTTTGGCTGCAAACCATTTGCTTTTGACATTTTTCTTTGAAACAGAGTCTCAGCCCAGGCTGTCCTCAAACCCCTGTGTATCTAAGGCTGGTCTTGAACTCCTGATCCTTCTGCTTCTACCTCCCGAATGATGGGATTATAGGCATGTGCCTCCACCCAGTTTTATGCAGTTCTGGGAACTAAACCCAGGGCTTTATGCATGTTAGGCAATCTCTCTACCAACTGAGCTACCTTCCCAGCCTGATTTTTTTTTTCTTTTGAGATAGGTCTCACACTGTAGTCTACACTATCCTGGAACTCACTATGTCACTATGTATCCCAGGCTGCCTTGAACTTGAAGTAGCTTTCCTGCCTCTGTCTCCCAAGTTCTGGGGTGAGAGGTATGAGCCACCACATGCATCCTATTATTAGTATTAATCCTCGTTCTTATAGATGAGGAGATGAAGGAGTTAATTACTGGGCCACAATTCCTCAGCCAGTGTGTGTTCCAGGCAGAGACAAGAGCAGCATACGGGAGGCAGATGGAGTATGGTATGAGGGAGTATGGAATCTGAGCTCCGCTGACTTCTTTAATATGAAACTTGTTTGCATGGAGTCAGAGTTAATGTTCACTTAGTGAAATTAGGCATCACTTTCATTTTGGATGGTTTGCTCATTGCTTGGGCAGATCTACATGCAGCAACACTGCACTGGAGGAGTCTTTGGGCCTTCGTTCAGCCGTGTGAGGAGTATGCGGGTCATTATAGAGTTTAGGGACCACTTCCATTTCATTAAGCGCTCTCTGACTACTCTGTTTTTTTGCTTTAGTGTCAATGACTGGGGCGATCCAGGTGTCCTCCTGGCAGTTCTCACAGCACTGTTTTGATTTGTTCTTTCCTTTCCTTTTTGTTTTTTGTTTTCAGTACTGGGGATTGAACCTAGGGCCTTTCACATGCCAGGTAAGCACTTTACCACTGAGCTACATCCCCAGCCTTCTTTTTAGTTTTTACTTTGAAATAGTCACCGTAACTTGCCCAGGTTGGCCTTGAACTTGCTTTATAGTCCAGGCTAGCCTTGACTTTACGAGCTTCCTGCCTCAGCCTTCCGGGTACTGGGATTCCAGGCCTGCACCATGAGGCTCAGCTCTCTATAAGAAGATTGCTGTATTCATTTTCTATCCGTAGCATCTTTGTTAAGGATAGATCTGCAAAGACCTTCCCATAGCCCCAATATCTTGTGTCCACTGAGCCTCATAATCACCGTGTCTTTTTCCTCTACACTGTTATTGGCACTGACTGAGATAGCATGGCGCAGGCAGAGGAGGAACATAGCAAAATGGAGGAGAAGCAGGGCCAGATCAGGAAGAGCCTCAAACCACAGAAAGGCTCGCAGACACTAAAGGCAGCTGATAGGAGGTGCGGTCAGGACTCTCTTTAGAATGACTGCATGGTACAGTAGACGGTGAGCTGTCATCGTGGAGAAGGGTGGAAGCAGGAAGAACTCCAGAACAGGGAAGTGAGCATGGTATCACACACCTGTAATCCAGCCCTCTGGAGGCTGAGGCAGGAGACTTTCCAATCTGAGGCCAGCCTAGGCTACAGAGTGAGACCCCATTTCAAAAAGAGAAGAGCTAGGGAAAAACAAGAGGCAGGAAGGCGGCAGAGCCCACAAGACTGGGTGATGGGTCACATGTGGGTGTGAAAGACAAAGTATAATTCAAGGTGGCTTTGAGACACTGAACTTGTATAATAGAGAAGCCGTTAGTCCTCCACTGAGGCAGAGACCCCAGGAAGAGGAACAGGCCTGGATGGGAAGATGAGAAGAGGCTTAGACATACTGAGTGGTCAGTTCCTATGGGACACCCAGGGAAGGTGGCCATCAGGCAGAGGGATCATCAGGTCTAGAACTCAAGAGAAACAATTTGGCTGAAGATTGAAATAGAAAACAGTCATTCAAACTAAGCAGGACAACAGGCATGGTGTTATAGGACTATAATCCCAGTACCTGTGAGACAAAAGTATGAAGATCAGGAGTTCAAGGCCACTCTTGGCTATATAGCAAGTTGTAAGCTAGCCTGGGCTATATGAGACCCTGCTTCAAAGAAACCCAAACCCAACTAAACCCAAACAACCCCCTCCCTACCTTATACACATTCAAGAAGGCTGAAGGGCCCATGAGATGGCAAAGGGAGTGTTGTCTTAGAAAGTGGGAAGGGAGCCAGACAGCTAAGAGAAGGAAAAGGACGGACCCTGAAAAGCATACTGCATCACGGGAGCCATGAGAAGAGAGCGTTCATTGTAAGAGAGAGGCACCAAGAAACCAGTGCCCAGTCAAGTGAGGAATTAGCAGCAGACATAATTGGTGACCCCAATGGGAGTGGTTTCAGTGGGATGAGAGAGAGGGCAGAGGGCAGAGGGCAGGGCTGAGTGGTAAAGGGGTGAAGGAAGGAGTTTAGTGAGCCAGTAGCACCTTTGCTTTCAAGAAGGTAACTGTGAAGAGGGGTGAGCTTGGGGATCAGTGCATAGCCTGCTGATGCTGGTTAAATCCCTTGGAGCGGAAGGGTAGAGGGACAAGTTCCAGGTCATCCCCTGGCAGCTTCTGTGTTCACTAGAGAAGCAGAGGGAGGGGCACTTGAAAAGAGGAGGGGGAATCTTGGGGAGGTGGAAGTAGGCAGAG